ATGGCCAATAAATACATGAAAAAATGCTCATCCTTGCTGACCATCAGAGAAATGCACATTGAAACTACCCTGAAATACTGCCACACTCCAGGAAGAATGGCTTTCATCAGAAGAATCTAACAATAATGACTGCTGATGAGGATGTGGGGAAAAAAGAATTGTACCACATTGTTGGTGGGAATGTAAACTAGTACAACTAATGTAGAAATCAGTGTGGAGATTCCTTAAAAAGCTAGAGGTACAAATTCTATTTGATCCAGCTGTCCCCCTCCTAGGTATTTTCCCAAAAGACTTTGTCATATTACAGGAATACATACATACCCATGTTTATTGCAGCACAATTTATAATAGCTAAATCTTGGAAGCAGCATGTATGTCCATCAACACATGGATCAATGGATAAGGAAAATTATTTATGCTCAACAGAGTACTACATTGCCATAAAAAGATAAACTTGAGGTATTTATAGGTAAATGTATACAACTTGAGAACATAATGTTAAGTGAAATAAGTCATACATACAAGGTCAAATATCACATGGTTTCCCTTATCTGAGAGAAAAATATACATAAATATAAATAAATAATAATAAAGAGGCCAGGGATTTAGCTCAGTGGTTCCGGTGCCTGCCTTGCAAGCGCAAGGTCCCGAGTTCAATCCCTGGTATCAAAAAAAAAAAAATAATAATAATAATAAAGAGCAAAATAGAAGAATGATAAATAGGAAATAAGTTCAACTACTTCCCCAAATTACATATTTTGCTGTTTAAAAAAAATCTCAATATATATGCTAATTTGTTTTTATACTAATAGTTTATCTTAGTTCAAGGAAACGTTTCTGTTATATTTCTTTTTTGTAAGAATCTTTTTGATTTATGTCTTGTACTGAGTAATTACCTTGAAGATATTTTAACTGTTATTCTCATCATTTGGTCATGAAAATTTGTTTTTTCATAAAATAAAAATAATTGATTGTAAAGTAAAAAAAATTACTAATTTGAGTTGTTAATGCTTTCTTTTCTACTCCTCTCCTGTAAATTTCACCAGTACTTTTTGCATTCATTTATCTTAACCTCATTTTTAAGCAGAAAATTTGTGAAGTACAGAAAAATATAGGGAGTTACTTCAAGTTTCACAACCCAGTGCCAGTTTTATTTTCAAAAGCAGTGTTCTAGTGCTATAACTAAGGCACTATTCCGAATAGGTCAGGGTTTTGCTTTGTTTTGTACTGGTGTAATTACTAAATTGTTCTGTACTTAAAGTAAGTTTTTTCCCCTCTTTCCCTTTTTGAGTTTTGACTTGGTTTTGTCATGGAAAGTGTCTTCTAGCCAGAAAAGGTGTAAAGATGATGAAGTTCTGATAACTTATCATGTTTGGCCTCAGTACATCTGTGGTCATATACTTCCTTAACAAATTGGTGAATATATAAGGAAGCATATATGGTATGGTAGGAAACACTGTTGTACCTTCTCTGAGCAGAAGGAAGTATGTGTATATAAATGTAACAAGTAGGCAAATATTTTACTTTTTTGAAAATTTCAATGGATTGGAGGATATGCGGATATCTCGTAACTACTTACAGGTAGGTTGTGCTTTGTTTGATGATAAATTGTAACTTTTAAAAATCTTTACACATCTTGGTATATAAAATTGGATTCAGCTAGAGTAATTAACATTACAGTAGTTATTCTTATTTTGAATATAAGATCTTTGTTAACTGAGAAGGGAAGTGTTAGTGAAATTAAAGTAAAGTGAATTTGTTTGCTAGTTTAAAATTATATATATGGCATGTATAGAGTGAAGAATATAAGTTTTATTGAGCCATTGTTTCATATGAACATAATGGGTAATGATGGCAAGCAGGTGTTTCATTCCACCTTACTCCCAGTCTGACGCAGAGGGATCCAGAACACAGAGCAAAAAGGAAAGGGCATGGTGTAAATCAGCAGTATACCAGCTAATTTTTGTTTGCTATTTTGAAAAGTCTGGAACCGTAATCTTTTCTCTTTAAAGGTTTGCCAGGATTTTTATTACATTTAATTAAAAGTACATTTATATGGCATGCAGAAAATTGGAGAAACCTACTCATGTAAATAAGATATTGACAGTCTGTAATTATCAAAAGAGAAAATGGATAATAGTGATTCTTTGTTATAATGAAGATTTAATGAAGATTTTGAATTCATTTTTTTATTATTTTAAAGATTTTGAATTTAAAAGGGCTCTTAGAGCACTTAAGGATTTAGTTTTTTGGGTTTTTTTGTACCGGGAATTGAACTCGGGTCCTTGCCGCTTGCACAGCAGGCAGCGAAACCACTGAGCTAAATCTCCAGCCCTTAAGGATTTAGTTTAGCTTTTTGGTTTTTATGTTGTGAAACATACTATATAGCTATTACGAAAAAATGTTTTGTACAACAGCTGAAATTTGGCCCAACTTATTTCTGGGTTACTTGTCATGTCAGTTCCGATCATGTTAATAGACATCTTGCTTTTCTGATAAGATTGCCATACTACATCATGAATTTTATTGAATCACCCATGATTAAAGATGGGCTGCCTTTTTGAAGTAGACAAAAGTTTTGTGTTAGTCATTTATTAGGTTAGTAATGGAGATGAATCTTGATTAAGTACAGGTACATGTTGTATCTTGTTATAACTTGACACTTTTTCATGTGAAGATTTATTAAATGAATCTAGTTGAATTATAAGCATTGATTATATACTGTGAATCTACTAGATATTTTTTGAATTTTTGAATTCTTCCCCTACTCCAGTAAATATAGTAACCAGTAGATAAAATGAGATAAATAGGAATGTCATGGCTTATGCATTAAAGAGAAGATCAAGACTGCACATAATTTTTGGAGGTACTTTATTATATCACTGAAGAAGCAGGGTTTTTTTTTTTGGTACTGGGGATCGAACTCAGGTCCTTGCACTTTCGAGGCTGGCAGCAGAACCACTGAGCTAAATCCTGGGCCCTGAAAAAGCATTTTGATCTTAATGTTTCTACAGTTCCTAGCCTTAAGATGGCACGTAGGTGTAATGATGCATGGTTTGGTACAGAATGCTGTCCAGGTTCAGCAGGCAGTTGTATTTAGCTCTCGTACTCATGTTTTCTAGGGAGTCAGAAGTAATGTTGCATGCACATGCTATGTAATCGCTGACTTGATCTAATGAGTATTTCTAAAAAGGATGTTTTAATCAACATTTACTTGTTAATCTAATTTTTTTCCTTAAATTCTTTTATTGGTACATTTTAGGTATACAGTACATTTACATTTATCATTGGGTGATTGTACTTGTACATGATGTATCTTGGTTCTTATTTTTTCCCCATTGCCTGTGTGCCCTTCACCCCCTCCACCCTTCCCTATTTACAAAGACTTTGTTTCCATTTTTTCCTTTTCTTATAATTTTTCCTTTCCTTTCTTTCTGTTAATCTAGTTTTGGTAGAATTTCAAAGCATTGAGGAATGAAATTTATATTTCATTGTTGAGTACAATGAATCTCTTACTAGTTATGTAATTAATTTGGGCTAATCCCAATGGGTACTTAGTGGTTCGAGTAGTAAGGGTTAGTATGGTGATTGGAAGGGTGAAGGAGTTATTGAAATATCTTTCATTTGTCCCTTAAGTAGATTCCAGGCATATGAAATACAATTCTGTATGTATAAACTTTTGGGTTTATGTAAGATACTCTGTACCCATCCAAGTAAGGAAGCTCCATTGTAATTATATGTAATAGTGGTATATTTAATCAGTTTCAAAGATTTTAATTTTTGGTACCAGGGATCAAACTCGGGACCTTGTGCTTGTGAGGCAGGTGGCATCAAAGTTAATAGTCTTGTGGAATGTCACAAATACAGTATAGGAACTGTGCTATGAACAAGTCATTTGCCTCTTAGAACTGAAATCTTCAAAACAGAAAACAATATTTATTGTGGTTTTTTTTTTAAATACCATGCCTTCACCATCTCTCAGAAAACCATTTTCCTATTACAGAGAAAATAAGGTCATCCAAAAAGGAGCTACGTATTCTTTATATACTTGTTTCTATTAACATCATAACTCTTTTACTTCTTTTGATTTAACTATTTATAACTTTAAAATTATAATTACTAGCATTTATTGAGCACTTATATTCCAGGCACTATTCTGTATATTTTCAGTATATAAAGTAAACCATTAATTACCATACTTACTTTCCTCAACAACTTGTCATTTTTGCAGATGAGGAGTCAGGTAACTAACTTCAAAGCTATACACCAGGAGAATGCCAAATCATGAATTTGAATTGAGCCAGTCCTACTCTAGAGCCTTTCCCTCCGTGTTTTGCCATAATGAGAAGCTGAATTTTGCCTTCTTGAGTTTGCTTGAGCTTTTCTCCTTGTCAGTTCTGGGTGATTGCTGCCTCTGCTGGCCCATAGGGTCATAGACTGTAGACTAGCTCTCAGTCTGGGTTTCATTCTCAACGTGGCCCTCCACTTATTTTAGGACATGGGACAGGTTGCGTTTTGTATCTTTAAGATGAGGCCAGTATGTACCTTATAGAATTGTTTTACAGTGATTGAATAGAGCAGTATATATAGAAAGTGCATACTGGTTTCTGACACTGGGTGAAGACTTGTGAGCTCTACACCACTACCTCTTGGGCTCAGAGCATTTTTCTCTGCTGCTAATTACGAGGGACTATGGTCTTTGGTTAGTTGTTTTTTCTGAGGTGTCTCTAAAACGCGGTGCCTGTCATCTTCATCTCATCAGTCGGCTGCTTGCTCAGAGTGGGTGTGCAAGACCTGCTTAGGGTGTGTTGTAGTTTAAAAACTACTCTAAAATGTGTATTTTGTTATTTGTGGTTAGGGATGACTTCTAGAGGATTTCTCTTTTCTCTGTTCTTCAGTAAGGTTGAAATCAAGTCATAATGGAAATATCATGGGGTCTAGAAAACTAACTACGGAGGTTATGAGACAGTTTTTAAAGTATTTTTCTTTTCCCCCCCCAGGAAGTTTGGTGAGCGGCCTCCACCTAAACGACTCACTAGGTAAGCAATATATTAGTGAGGCTTTCACTTAGCCAATTTGAGTATGTGTAGATCCTGTCATTTATTAAGGCACCGTTAGAAATCTTTCCCATATTTTTTTTTTTTTTGTGGTACCGGGGATTGAACTTGGGTCCTTGAGCTTGCGCAGCAGGCAGCGAAACCACTGAGCTAAATCCCCGGCCCGATTTTTACCTATTTTACTATTTTGTTTGTTTGTTTGTTTGTTTTTTAGTACTGGGGATCGAACTTGGGTCCTTGCTTTTTTACCTATTTTAAAGAAAACATAAGATTTTAACATCTCACTCCAGAAAGAATGGCTGCTATTAAGAAATCAACCGGGGCTGGGGATTTAACTCAGTGGTTTGGCCACCTGCCTCGCAAGCACAAGATCCCAAGTTCTGTCCCGGGTACCAAAAAAAAGAAATCAACCAATAACAAATGCTGGCGGCTGTACGGGAAAAGGAACCCTTCTCCACTGCTGGTGGGAGTGTAGACTGGTGTAACTACTGTGGAAATCAGTGTGGAGATTCCTCAAAAAACTAAAACTAGAGATTCCATTTGACTCACATATTCCCCTTCTTGGTATCTTCCCAAAAGAATTGAAAGCATCATACTACAGCAATATATGCACACCCATGTTTATAGCAGCACAGTTTGTAATAGCTAAATCTTGGAAACAGCCAAATGCCCATCAACAGATGGATAAAGAAGATGTGGTGTTTTTATACAATGGAGTACTGCTTAGCCATAAAAAAAAGATAAACTTGAGACATTTATAGCTAAATGGATGCACCTTGAGACCATACTCTTAAGTGAAATAAATAGGACACACATGTAAATACCTCACTGTTCTCTGGTCTGAGAAACTGTAAGTGTAAATGAGGATCAAAATGTATAATAGATATTGTGAAATAGGAAGAAAATGTTCAAATGGTTAGGGGAACTAGGGAGGGGGGCAGGAGAAAAGAAGGAAGGGAAAGGAAAATGAGAAAAGGGAAAAGTGGAAACAAAGCTTTTGTAAATAAGATGGGGGAAGAGGGGTTGAAGAGAGGTTAGGAGAATGGGAAAAAAAAGAATCAAGATATATCATGTACGAGTGCAAATTCCCTATGATGAATGTGATCATTATGTATATATAAAATTACTGTTAAAGTTAATTAAAAAACATATATATAAAAAATTTTTACAAAGCTATTCCACTGACCCACCTAACAGTTTACCCCGGGTGTTATTCAGGGGAGCGTCCCTTGTTTACTTGTTACGTACTGAGTGTCCTGAGTGTCACTTAGGTGTCATTTCATCCAGTTGATTCTTGTATTGAGTACATTTGATAGAATTATTGTTTTTATACTTCCTGTTATCTCATAAAATAAATAAAAATATGCAATTTTGGGTCATCTCGTATTTAAATAATTGGACTGTTAAGTGGTTAAAGAATGAGGGAGACTTGCCAGAAGAACACAGGAGACAGTGTGGAGATACTCCTACACCGTGATCATCAGATGAATCTGAAACACCTTGATCATCAAGTAAGTAATGTTGCAATAGATGAAAATTCATAAAATCAAGCAACAGTTTAGAAGTCTATGCTGGTGGATTGAGCATCCCTAATCCAGAAATCCCGAAAATCTAAAATAATTCCAAAATCTGAAACATTTGAGTGCTGACAGAGCACTCAAAAAGTTTTATACTCTTGAAGTATTTCGGATGTTTGGATTTGAGATGTTCAAACCTTCGTCTGTCAAATATAGCAAAAATCTGAAAAAACTGAACTCCAGAATACTTCTGGTTATAAGCATTTAGGAAAACATAATCTATAGTGAGATAATTATCTCAGCATACAGATAATAATTTATCTCTCCTACATATAAATATTATAAAATTATTTATATGAATGAGTCAGCAAAAAGAGGAATAGAATAACTTTTCCTTACAGAAGAATACCTTTTCCTTACAGAAGAATACCACCTAACAAATGTAGAAGGAATGTGGAAATAAGGAAATCGCTATTGGGCAGTTGAAGTGTAGTGATAATTTCAGGCAAAATCATCAGTGGTTGCTTAAACTACTGAATTAAAGTTAATCATTTATGTACACTCAAGGTGAGTCCTGACAACTCAAAAGGGAGAGCAGTAACATGATAGTGCACAAACCTGGCAGACACCACCTGTAATTCATCTAAATTAATGTCACCACTGGTGACAAACATATCATGTACATCCCAAGGACACAGTTTCACTTTTGGTGTAAGATGCAAATTAAGGAACATCTGAGAAATAAATGGTCTTTATTCTTCAAAAAAACCTCAAGATTATGTAAAACAAACACTAAGGAATTGCTCCAGGTTAAAGACCAAAGTGATAGAAATAAATGTCCTATAAATAAATAAATATAGAAATAGATGAACCTTGAAGCAGAAAAAATTTTTTTTTCTTTTGTTATGAAGCCAGAGTTGACATGTTTTCTGTAATGGCTTTAGACAGTTGGCAAAATTTGAGTAAAATATTTAGGGTAGAGTTGTTTTATCAGTGACAACAGCATTGTGATTTTTAAAAGAATGTCCTCTTTAAAAGGAAATAAACATTGAAGTATTTTGGATAAAGTGGCATGCCTGCATTGCTCTTAAATGTTTTAAACATAACATGCAAATGGTATGATAAAATATTAAAATTTGAGGAGCCTCAGTGACTAGGAATTCCTAGTTCTACTTTTGCCAGTTTTCTGTGCAATCCTTAAAATTAGTTTAAAATTTAAAATCATTTAAAAAACCATTATATAAATATTTTAGATAAAACGTGTTGGGAAGTTATAGGTCCATGTAGATATATTTCCATTTTTAAAAAATATATCTGTTGAATAAATTCTGATCAATAGAATTGCTATATTTAGATATATAAGCATTTTGAAATTTAAAACTTAGACGGTAAATATTACTAGCAGCAGTTAGTTGAAGTGGCTTCTAATACATTTTGATGACTGAGTTATTTTCATGGATACATCTGTAAAAAATAAGCAATATGATAATTTCATAAGGAAATTTTTCTTTCTTTCCCTAAATACACACAGTAATACAGTAGACCTCATCTACTTTATTGTGATTTTTGCATCATTTAATCTTTAAGTGGTTTTCCCTGTTTGGAAAATTTTATTAGCTTTTAGGACTACCATTTATGGCTAAGATGGAGTAACAAGAACTGGACTTCTCTAGCCTGAAACAGCTAAAAACCATGGACAAAATACATGAAACAGTGGTTGTCAAGATACTGAACATCAGGCAAGGAAGGGAGTGATTCCCAAGAAACAGGAAACAAATGAGGTTAGGCCCAAGATTGCCCCAGCTTTGTCCCCAAGAGTTTCCAGGCCAGACAGTGGGGTTGGGGGTGTGGGGAGCAACCATGTGAGACAGAAACTGTAAGGAGACCAAGAGAGCTGAGTTCACAGGGCTGAGACCCAGAGAGGAAAGAACTCAAGAGCTGCGGAGAGCTACAGAGCTCTTCTAGCATTCAGTCTAGTATTGATCAGCACATGTATGTAAAGAAAGTACTCATTGTGGGGGAAAAAGCATCCAGAAGAATTAGAGGAATCAGTTCCTAAAACTCAATTATGGCTGTGAATTACTTTTTTGAATGACCAGAGTAAAAAAAAATCTCGTAACTCACAGGGTATCACCTAAAGTACTCAGAATCCTTCTAAAAATTAGGCCCAGACCAAATGATACTCTTATTTTCACATAACATAAAGCACAATTGAAAAGATCGAACTATGTAATTATGTAACAGAACAAAGCTCAAGAATAAAAAACCATGTTACACACCAAAAACATAAAAATTTACCAGTCATACAAAGAAGCAGGAAACTATCCACAATGAGAAGAAAAAAGTTAAAGGCAACCAAGATACGTCAAGGATGACATTAAAACAGTTACTATGCTTATGTTCTATATATTCAGGGGACTAAGATTAAGCATTGGAGAAATGGCCAGATGGTGTTTTAGATTTTGTGACCCACATAGTTTCTGTGGTATAACTCAACTCTGTTGTAGCACAGAAGGAGGCATAGACGATGTGTGTGTATACTGGGATATGGTTTTGTTTCTGAAACAAATGAGGGCCAAACTGCCGGCTGAGCTAGAGGAGAGATTGAATAAGTTTAATAAAGCCATGGAAGCTATTCATTTATAAAAGACCCAATTCAAATTAGTAGAGATAAGAGTAATATTTAAGATAAAAAATAAACTTGCTGAGTTTGATTTCAGAGTAGACCAGGGAGGAATTAGTGAATTTGAAGACATCGTGGTAGAAAGTATCTAAAATGAAGCACACAGAGGAAAAAATCTGAGGAAAAGGCACACATTACTAAGCTGTGGTCTGTCTTCAAGTGTCCTTATATCCATGTGAGTGGGATCATTGAAGGAGACAGTATGCATAAAACAATATGTGGAGAAATAATGGCGGAAACTTTTTACTTTCATTAAAAACTTTAAAACCACAGATCCAAGAAACTCAGTGAATCCCAAGTGTTAAACTACAATGAAGCACATGGTAGTCAATTTGATTAAAACTAGTGCTAAAGAGAAAATCTTATAAGGCAGTAGAGACAAAAGACAAATTTTACAAAACAACAAAGATGAGGACAGCAACAGGTTTTTATCTGGAACTTGCTATGGATAAGAAAGTAGAGCATGAGCATTTAAAGTGTTCAAAGTGGGGGAAATACTTGTCTACCTAGAATTTTCTACTTAACAAAGGCAAAAGAAAGACTTTAAGGGGCCAGGGATTTAGCTCAGTGGTTCCGCTGCCTGCCTCACAAGTGCAAGGACCTGAGTTCAATCTCTGGTACCAAAAAAAAAAGACTCTAAGGACATACTAAAAATGGAAAAAAATTCATCATAAACAGACCTGAGTTACAATGCTGTAAGAAATCCTTTGAGCAGGACAATCATGCTACATAGAAATCTGATTCTGTACAAATTACTAGTATCAAGAAAAACAAAGGTGATA